CACCCTCCTGGCTGGGGCAGCAGCCCGGCAGGGATCAGGCTGAAGCCTCCCGCTCTAGCCCCAACCTCCAAGCCAAGCCTGCCCTGCCCTAGTAAAGGTGCCCTCCACTGGGACGCAAGCCCCGCACCTCCCCTGGTCAGAGCCTAACTCACTGTCTGCTCCTGGGCAGGTCCTTTTATACAGGGCTGCCCCAGCAAGCTATGCTCCAGTTGGCTCTTTAAAAGCCTCTCCCTGATAGGCCAGGGCTCTGGGCTGGCTCCCTCTTGCCTGCTTTAACCCCTTCTGGCCAGTGTGGGGCACTCACCCCTCCACAGGGAGGAATAGGGCTCTGGCGTCCCAGCTGGAGACCAGCCTACGGGCTGTTTCCTTCTGAGAGCTGTTTGGCATCAAGGTGAAATGAGTTGCTGGGTCTCAGCCTGGGAAGCTGGCACTGCCAGTCCGGTTGGGCCAGCTCCAGTATCGTCACCCCCAAGCACCCGAACACCTTCAGCCTGCCCTAGGAACCAGGTCGTCTGTTGTTTAACGGATCAGTCCCAGCTCCTTGTTCTTTGCCGCTTGGTTTCTGAGCCTTCAGGTCGTAACTCAGGTCACATTTTCAGCCTCATCTCCACAGCCAGCAGGAGCAGCCGCTTGGAAGTCGAGTCTGTCACGGCCTCACATGACTCCTGAAGCCGGGACTCCCACTCATGAGCCCTGCGGTAAGTCTCACGCACTGAGCACGTGTCCTGGGTGAAGGGCTCCCTGCTAACATGATTCACACCAAGGGGAAAAGAGAAACCCAGGCCTGAGCAGCAGGGTGACCTGCCAGGGCCTGGCTAAAGCCCCTCAGCTCTCTCGAAACATTGTGCTGTTGGCCCTCATGGCTGCAAAACCTCTGACCATGTGACTGACGCTGGCTGCAGAGAGCCTGAGGTCCCCGCGGCTCAGACACACGACAGACCTTCCCCGTGCTGGGGCATGACACAGCGTTGGCCCACCCCCCAGCTGGGTTTCTAACAGGCTATCTGGTGCAGAGCACATGGGCTATGGTAAGAGAGGGAGGCTCTCCCTGAGCTAAGTCCCACCCTCCCCTCCCAGGCAAAGCCCTGGGCTGTGCCAGCCTGTGCCCTGCCCCCCTTGCATCGGCAGGCAGAGCAGCCCCAGGCTGACGCTGCTGGCAGGGCGAGAGGGCGGGAAGGCGGCTGGGATCTGGCTGGCAGGCTCCTGCCCAGGGCCAGGCGGTGGGGAGAGGCGGCCAGCGCTGGGGCAGAGAACAATCCCCAGCTGTCAGCCTGGGCACTGGAGTGAGGTGACCTGGCAGCAGGAGGGGATCTCAGCAGGGCCAGTGAGATGAGAGCTGCCCTGTAAGTAGCTCGCAGCAGGAGCCTGCGAGAGGCTGAGCTTAAACCTCTCTCACGGCAGCGTGAGCAACATGGGCCCTGGGCTGGCAGATAGGCACCCAGGGACTGTGCACTCTGCTCTCAGGCCAGGCTTGTGCAGCCTAGGGACAGGCCCTCTGTGCCCTGCCTGCACCCGAGGCATGCCCAGGCTGGGCAAGGGACACAGGCAGACAGGCCTGGAAATGCACACACCTGGGGGGCAGCCCAGGGTGCCCCGGTCACCCAGAGCAAGACCTTTGACTCCATCTGAAGCAGCAGGTTCCCAGATCCCACAGCCAGCAGGGGCCACGTTCCCGTCCAAGCCCAGCCCTTGGTTAGCTTGTGCACGCCCAGGACTCTGTGCCAGCAGGGGGTCCCTCCCGGTAGGGCAGGAACCAGGCGAACTCGCTGACCCCAGCAGGCCCCCTGGCAGGTAACAAGCTGGCCAGTGTGAAGAGCCACCCAGAAGCAAGCAGAGCCTGTCAGTGGTCTGCAGGGCCTCCCCCACGGCAGGGCCAGGCGGTGGGGAGGGGAGGCCAGCGCTGGGGCAGAGAACAATCCCCAGCTGTCAGCCTGGGCACTGGAGTGAGGTGACCTGGCAGCAGGAGGGGATCTCAGCAGGGCCAGTGAGATGAGAGCTGCCCTGTAAGTAGCTCGCAGCAGGAGCCTGCGAGAGGCTGAGCTTAAACCTCTCTCACGGCAGCGTGAGCAACATGGGCCCTGGGCTGGCAGATAGGCACCCAGGGACTGTGCACTCTGCTCTCAGGCCAGGCTTGTGCAGCCTAGGGACAGGCCCTCTGTGCCCTGCCTGCACCCGAGGCATGCCCAGGCTGGGCAAGGGACACAGGCAGACAGGCCTGGAAATGCACACACCTGGGGGGCAGCCCAGGGTGCCCCGGTCACCCAGAGCAAGACCTTTGACTCCATCTGAAGCAGCAGGTTCCCAGATCCCACAGCCAGCAGGGGCCACGTTCCCGTCCAAGCCCAGCCCTTGGTTAGCTTGTGCACGCCCAGGACTCTGTGCCAGCAGGGGGTCCCTCCCGGTAGGGCAGGAACCAGGCGAACTCGCTGACCCCAGCAGGCCCCCTGGCAGGTAACAAGCTGGCCAGTGTGAAGAGCCACCCAGAAGCAAGCAGAGCCTGTCAGTGGTCTGCAGGGCCTCCCCCACGGGGAGAACCTGACACTGCAGGGCCACACAGCCCGGCCCAGGCAGGGCAGAGACCCAACCAGGCGGATGGCCATGGCCACCCTGGGTGCAGCGGGGCCAGGCAAGATGCCCTGCGGCTGATGGGTGCTCTGCTTCTGAAGTCCCCTGCCACGGAGCTGGCGGGGCCAGGGCTGCCCACTCACCAAGCCCCATGCTCACCGGGGCGCCCCCCTAGCTGGCTCCATTCACCTTCGGCCTCTCCTGTGACTCAGCCACTCTCCTCAGAGCCCAGCCGGCTCCAGCCAGGGCATCCCCAGCCCTTCTCCAAGGCTCTGGTTTGTCACGCTGAAGGCTGGTGAGGAAACGGGCACTCACCAGCGTGGGGGGTTGGAGTTAGTTCAAGGGCAGGGGAAATGGCCATTGAAACAAGAATGTGCAGGGAGCCCGCAGGGACCCAGGAATCTGCTGCCCAGCTGGGGGCCAGTCCCTTTAGCTATGCAAGATCAGCGGGGCCCAGCATAGCATTAGAAGCAACATGGGCTAGTGCAGTGGTCCCCAACGTGGTGCCGTGGCATTTATATGAGCCCACCAAATGATCTGGTCTGGCCCTGCCCCTGGCGCACGACGCATGTGCGGTGCCGCCCCCGGGCATCTGGCACATGTACAGTGCTGGTCCCAGGCGCACAGCTCATGTGGTGCCAGCCCTGGGCACACGGCCCATGGGCAGCCCCTGCCCTGGGTGCGCAGTACATACGCGGCCCCGCCCCTGGACACCCCGAAAGGTTGGGGACCACTGGGCTAGTGGGTAGGTCAGCGGACTGGGAGTCACATGACCTACCACCTACCTGATTTCAGCCACTGAGTACGTGTGATCTCAGACCAGCCTTGGCCCCTCTCTGGGCCTGTGTTGCTCTCTCCTGTCCCTTGTGACCGTCAGGGACGGACCTGCAGGCGTTGGCACGAGCCAGGGCTCCGACCCCACCAGCAACGCAAAGAAGGCAAAGGCACTTTATTGGCTGTCAGGTCTTCCACAGAAAAGGCAGCCAAGCTGGCTCCAGTGGCACAGCGAATGACACCTCCCGTACACCAACCGGGGGGAGGAACTCGGCGAGGAGAGGCACTAAGGCACACCCCCGAGCGCAGCCTGGTGAGTGAATGCAGGAGGGAGACAAGAACTCAGTCCCACGGAGATGGAGAGACCCTGCTCTCCAGTTAGCCCAGCGCCCTGGGGCAGTGGAGGGCTGTGACTAAGGGGAGCACATCCAAGGCTTGCAGAAGCTGGTCTGAAGAGGGGATTCTGGTCTGGATCACCCGGGGAGCTGGGAGGGTGCTGGGTGCACAGGGGAGAAGGAGGAGCACCACTAGAGGAGAAACAGGTACCAGGGCAGCCAACTGGGGGAAGGAAGGAGCACCACTAGAGGAGAAACAGGTACCAGGGCAGCAGGGCAGCCAACTGGGGGAAGGAGAGCCTGGGACCAAAGTCCAGCTGGAGGGAACATTACCCATGGGGAGTGAGGCCAGGATGGGGGCGGGGTTTGCAAGCTGGGAGAAAAGCCCCGATTCCTCCCAGCCCCAGGGAACGTCCCTGCAGTCACTTCAGAGCCAGGTGCAAGCAGAGCGGAGCTGGGACCCCCCAGCTGAGATCTAGACGTGCACGAATCCCTATCGACCAGAGAGAGAGACAGGACTTCCCCCCTCCCTCCCAGCACAGAATAAGCCAGGGGACGGGACAGGACGGGGGTGGCTTTCGCATTTCCCCTGAACCACCATCTCCCTTCTAACTGCGTGCCCCTGGCTCTGCCTGCTCCCCTCCGATACTAAAGCCAAGGGCTGGGACTTCTGCTGAGCATGGCCCAAGGCCTCCTGGCACCTGCTATGTTGTGGTAATAGACAAACAGGGCAGCCGAGACGGTAACACAAGCACGAGCCACACGACGATCCGAGAGCATGTGTGCAGGTGCGCTCAGCCTGGGATGGTGGGGGGTTCAGCTGGGACTGGTAAAGGCTTAGGCCGGATCGAGCTGGTGCCCAGCCCCGTGAGCCAGGCGGGCACGGCCCTGCCCAGAGCCGCCGAAGGTGCCGGAGGAAAGACGGGAAATCAATCTCATTGCTAACTGAGGGGGCGGCCTTTTCCAAGTCACGCGCAGCTCCTGGAGAGGAGCCAGCTCTCCCGGGGAGGCGGGGGCTGGAGGAGCAGCCGAGCAGAGACTGAAGGCTGCCCAGCTGCTGCCGATGCCAAGAGCTGCTACGAGCTGCTCACAAGAGCAGCCTGGCACACAAAGCTCCTGGGCAGAGCATCATTTCCCCTGCCCTCCCCCCGTCTGGCCCATGTGCTGCAGAGGCAGGAATGGGGCTCAGCCCAGCTTGACAACCTTCAACCCCTCCCTGCTCTAACAGACCCGAAGTAGCATGGGACAACTCCAGCAGGCACTGCTGCCAACCCTCCCTGCGAGCAGCTGCAGCAGAGCTCCCCCGAGCCCGGTGCTGACCTGCTCTGGTCAGCAGACGGGCGTCGCAATCTGTCTCTTCCCCACGCTGCCAGGAGCGGAGACTGACACGGCCTGGGCCAGGCAGCTCCACGGTGCCAGGAGCGGAGACTGACACGGCCTGGGCCAGGCAGCTCCACGGTGCCAGGAGCGGAGACTGACACGGCCTGGGCCAGGCAGCTCCACGGTGCCAGGAGCGGAGACTGACACGGCCTGGGCCAGGCAGCTCCACGGTGCCAGGAGCGGAGACTGACACGGCCTGGGCCAGGCAGCTCCACGGTGCCAGGAGCGGAGACTGACACGGCCTGGGCCAGGCAGCTCCACGGTGCCAGGAGCGGAGACTGACACGGCCTGGGCCAGGCAGCTCCACGGTGCCAGGAGCGGAGACTGACACGGCCTGGGCCAGGCAGCTCCACGGTGCCAGGAGCGGAGACTGACACGGCCTGGGCCAGGCAGCTCCACGGTGCCAGGAGCGGAGACTGACACGGCCTGGGCCAGGCAGCTCCACGGTGCCAGGAGCGGAGACTGACACGGCCTGGGCCAGGCAGCTCCACGGTGCCAGGAGCGGAGACTGACACGGCCTGGGCCAGGCAGCTCCACGGTGCCAGGAGCGGAGACTGACACGGCCTGGGCCAGGCAGCTCCACGGTGCCAGGAGCGGAGACTGACACGGCCTGGGCCAGGCAGCTCCACGGTGCCAGGAGCGGAGACTGACACGGCCTGGGCCAGGCAGCTCCACGGTGCCAGGAGCGGAGACTGACACGGCCTGGGCCAGGCAGCTCCACGGTGCCAGGAGCGGAGACTGACACGGCCTGGGCCAGGCAGCTCCACGGTGCCAGGAGCGGAGACTGACACGGCCTGGGCCAGGCAGCTCCACGGTGCCAGGAGCGGAGACTGACACCACCAGGCCTGGACAGTTCCGTGCTGCTGGGACAGGAGCCGCTGCTGGCCTGCTTCCGAATCCTCTGACCCAGCCTGGGGCCTGCTTTGACTCTCGTTCCCCAGCAGACGGAGCAGGTGCCAGCACTCCCGAGCTTGCCCTCAGACCAGCCTCTGCTGCCAATGCCCCAGTGGTCTCGTAAGACGCAAGAGTCCACCTGGAGGCTCCCCGGGGCCAGACGGGGCCGGGCTCGGGCGCTTGGCGAGCACGGCACAAAGCTCTCCTCGCTCGGATATTGTAACGCGTGCTCAGGTCCCCACGGATGTGCCTGCCTTTCTGAACCGTCCACCTTCGCTCGGAGCCTCCTGCTCCCCTGAAGAGCAGCTGGGCTGGGCTGCTGGGTGGGGAGCTCAAACAATCGCCTTCTGCTTCATTAACCCCTTCTTCGCTCCCTGGTGAATCTTTGAATCCAGTTTCCCTGTAGAGGGGGAAAGAAAGGGGAGGGGGGAAACCCGCTCGTCACTATTTTTAAACGTCATTTGCAATGCAAATCAGCTGGAAGCAGCAAGGTCTCCCAGTTAGCGTGTTGCTGTCACATTCGATTATCCTGCTTCAGGAGCCAGGCGTTTCCAGGCTCCATCGGCTCGTGCAACAGGCCTGACAGCAACCGTGCAGAAACGAAACCGGGGTGGAGGGGCGACAGCCACGAGGAGAGAAAATCAACATCCCCTGCTCTGCTGCTGCCCAGAGAAAGGGACGGCTCTGCTCACGGGGGCGCCGGGCCAGGCACGCATGGCGGGTACCCTCTCCAAGCAGCAGCCGGAGCTAGGCCTCTTGCCGGAGCAGTGACCTGGAGGAGCGGAGCCGGCTGAACGACTGCCCTGTTGCCCGGTGGGACAGCTCACAATCAGCAGCCTGAGGGGCTCGTGCGTGGAAAGCCCAGCCCAGGGGCCTCTCTGGGCCGCAGCCAGAACGGGCTAATGGGAAGCACATCTCCAGCTGCCTCCTGGGAGCCGAGGGGGCCAGCAACTGTGAACAAGCAGGCTCAGAGCCAGTGCGGCCTGCCAGCGGCAGAGGGACCCGGAGCCAACCGGGCCTCTCTCGGGCCCTGCCAGCGGCAGAGGGACCCAGAGCCACCCGGGCCTCTCTCGGGCCCTGCCAGCGGCAGAGGGACCCAGAGCCACCCGGGCCTCTCTCGGGCCCTGCCAGCGGCAGAGGGACCCAGAGCCACCCGGGCCTCTCTCGGGCCCTGCCAGCGGCAGAGGGACCCAGAGCCACCCGGGCCTCTCTCGGGCCCTGCCAGCGGCAGAGGGACCCAGAGCCACCCGGGCCTCTCTCGGGCCCTGCCAGCGGCAGAGGGACCCAGAGCCACCCGGGCCTCTCTCGGGCCCTGCCAGCGGCAGAGGGACCCAGAGCCACCCGGGCCTCTCTCGGGCCCTGCCAGCGGCAGAGGGACCCAGAGCCACCCGGGCCTCTCTCGGGCCCTGCCAGCGGCAGAGGGACCCGGTGCCAACCGGGCCTCTCTCAGGCCTTGCCGGCGGCAGAGGGACCTGGAGCCAAGCCGGACTTTCTTGGGCCCTGCCAGCAGACCGAGGCTGCAGCCTGCCAGGCACTTTGCTTCCCGCACCCAGCAAGTAGGCAGGGACATGCCAGCGTCAAACCTGCTCCAGTAACAGAGGCACAAACTCTGCTCCCAGGCCCCGGGAAGGAGCGGGCAGGAGCCAAGAGCGTAGGGCCAGCGTTCACCTCCCCTTCCTTTCACCCCAGGCTGTCCCTGGCCTGGCTCCGTGCACTCCAGAGTGATGCACGCAGCACCTGCCCCTTAGCACACACCCAGACCTGGAGGCCTTGTTCCCAGGCCAGGGGAAGGGATACAAAGGGGACAGGACGTGCCCACACACCAGGCCCCACAGCCAGGGTAATCCCATATGTTTTGGATCTCTGGTGTAGCCCTCTGGGAGAGGCGCCCTCTGCTCAGCCCAGTGGGAGAGAAGCAGGGACCCTCCCAAGCTGCCTGCTCACTCCAGCGAGGTCCGTGGGCTCTCTGTGCGCTCTGATCCCTGTCAGACTGATGGAGGATGGCAAAGTGCCTGTCATCATCCCAGCCTCAATGGAAATTGCTCTCTCGCCTCCCAGCACTGGCTGGCCCCTCCAAGTGAGCATGGCTGCATCCCACCCAACAGCCCTGAGAGACAACAGCTTCACACACCTCTCACACTGTCCTTTGCCCGCCCTGCGGAGCCCTGACTCCCCCTCTCCCCTGCAGGGATGTCAAACCCCATTGGATTGCTTAACCGGTTAAGGGCAGGGTGTAGAGGGCTGCAGCAGTCCCCCTCCTGCTGCAGGCAGGGGCTGCTCCAGCCAGGCCCGAGAGCTGCTTCAGCCCCCAGCGGCCCACCAGACCTGGGAAGCACCACCTGGCAAGCATGGCACTCACCAGCGAACCGGCTAACCTTTCCCATCCCTGTTCTGCGGAGGCCGATCCCACCCTTTGGCTTTTACAGCTGCTGCGCGCACGCTGCCACCTGGTCTCCTCCAGCAGTGCATGCGCGTGATGCCTTGACGCTGACGCGATCTGATCGGAAGCGCGCCCCTATTATGGCAGCATACTGCTGGCAGGGAAGGTCAAAGGTTCTCCCCACCCCCGGTCACAAACACTGTCTGCTTGGCCTGGCCCGACTGTCCCCTCCCACGGCTGCGGCTCTGCCTTACCCCCCC